ATTTTTATGTAAATTCACGTCTTCATCGCATTTTTTTTATATTTGCAGTAAAATAAAATAATGCAGTAAAATGAAATATTTAAGTGTATATTTGCGATCATTCCTGTACATAATTTCATTCTACACACTTCCATTGCAAACATTCCATTCTACAGATCTGAAAGTATTCTAGTTTTTTATTTCTTATAAATTTTTATTAAATGTTCTCGCGCAATGTAAATGGGCGAAAGTGAAAACGATCCCAGTGTGTCGGATTGAAATGCTCAAAATATATGTACCATATTTGGTGAAGATTAATAATAAAAATTGCTAGTAATTAAGCCATTAATAACTAGAATTTGATAACACCGCCATGTACAAATCAAATAATTGATTGAGATCAATCTGATCAGGACTATGGGATAAATTTCTCATCGGGTAGAATCAAATCGATTTCCGATTTTGCTCGGGTAATTTGGAATAACGCTGTGGTGCACCAGGCAGATCGCTCAAATAGGTAGAACCGGTTTTCCTGTGCTGTATCCGTCGTGGAAGGAACACTTTGCCTCTCGGAATACAGTAGCCGCGAGTCAATCATATCACACCGTAACACAAAATTACAGGCTTCGCAACGTCCGCAATTCCCGTTCCCTCCGGAGGAAGAAAGAAAAGAAAACCTCATCTGTCAGCCGCTAGAGCTTTCGGTCGCAACGTTTAACGGACAACGCGGCTACCTGGCTTTCCTTGAGGGGGAACCCTTAAGAGTTCGCTGGAAGATCGCTGTCTGGGAAATTAGCTAAAACTGGAGCTAAGTGGCTCGGGAAAGCGGAGCCGGGACGGAATAGAACGGAACGGCACGGCAGAGCGCGAACGTTCCGATCTAACTCCCGGCCCGATCCCTCGCTCCTCCGTCAGATATTTATCGCGTTTAAGTGGGATCCGGTTAAATGCAACTCGTGATCTGATTCCTGCGGGGTCTAAAAGCTTGCCTCGCCCGCCTGCCCGGCCCGCACGAGGGCCGCGGGCCAGATTCGTAGCGGAGATTGAGCGACGATGAAATCGGTGTTGCCGAAATTGTTCGCGGACTATTCGCGCGTGCACACATACACATACGTGCGCGCGCGCGCGTAACAGAGAGAGTGAATATAATACGCGTTCGATAAAGCATGTGAGAATGTCGAGAGATCTTCAAGCGATCAAACGTAACAGACTATCAATCAAATCGCCCTGTTTGACAAAAGTTACTTCATCACGTCGATAATCCTGAAAACAAGAGATTTTTACTGCATATTGTATAAGCAGGCTCTCTAAGCATATAACTGAAGTAATCTCTGAATTTTTTGAAGCGGAATCTCATTCAAAACAAGCGAAAAGTTGCAGTATTTTCATTCGAAGTGACAGAGAAAATCGAAATTGTAAGAATAAAGCGAGCTTAGAGTGAATTCTGGTTTTATATGAGCGAATATTTTTGCCGATTGGAGTAAATACATATATTCATGTGACGGTGGGGTGCATCAGATTCGTTCTTCAATTTCGAGTGAAAATACACTCGGCAACTCAGAGTGCAAAATTCAATTTGTATGAGTGGTAAATCACTCGAATTCGAGTGACTCAGTGGTCACTCTATTTTTCGATCGAAATTTCGCCTCGAGAAGTTTAAATTTTATTATTATGCGTGATTTAAACATTGATCATACCCAAATCCGCGATTTTATTATTATTATTATCGTAAAGCTTAATTTGTTCGGGACAAATCGTTTAAAGCGCAAGTGCCAAGTATACATAGAATCACAAAAAACATATTGCAATAAATATTTACTAACAAATACACATATTTATAACGCTCGAAAGAAGCAACTGAAAACTAGAAAACCCTAAATAGTCTCAAATAAAAGTATTCATATTTCCTAAGTAATGAAAAACATAACAAACCAGATCTGAGATGTATATATAAATACATACTTTGAGCGATTTTCAATTTCTGCTGCTCGTTTACTAAATAAAAATCCGCGAAGAGATGTTCCGAGTCGAAATTTGAATCCTACTTTCGGCCTCAATATCTCACTTAATGTTTACTTTGATACTCTGAAGCCTATATAAAATTCTTTTGATCCTATTTAATCTTCTAACTTTGTCGAGATATTCTCTTTAGGACCTACAAGTGATATTTTGTACGTTTCTGCCGTTTAAAGATGCCAAGGGATTCAGTTTTCATTAAGCATACCCGAGTTAAAATTTTGGTCATATGTTAAACCTTAAATTCTACAACGTAGTAGAAGCTAAGTTAGCAAAGTAGGTTTAATTCTAATAATAGAATTTATTTCTACTTTGACTTGATGATGTCCGAAATTTCCTCTTTCATTTTCAACATCAAAAAAGGTGTAGAATGGAATAGTAAGACTGAAAGTAAGATCAAAATTTCTTGGGTACCCGATTCGAAATTTTGATCCTACTTTCGATATCATTCCTTCTAACGTCTACTTTGATACTTTGAAGCTTGTAACATCTTTTGATTCTATTTAAGTTCACTACTAGCGTCATATATGTGTAAGACACCGATCTTTCACTTCAAGTTCATCATTACTAAAATTTTTCAATTTTACTTGACGTATGTTCCCTATCAACGTCACACGTGTACGACAACGATATTTTCCTTGACATTATTCGCATATGAACAAACCAAATCTGTTTTGCTTAATTACGCGAAAATAAATGTAATGTGATCTGTGGACAGAATTCCCCAAATGAACTGTGTTAGCGAACGTGTTAACCTACTAGCTTTGTCATGAGGTCCTCTTTAGAATCTACAAGTGTTATTTTGTATGTTTTCTGCCACTTGGAGGGATACTAATGCCCATTTTGGTTAACTTAACCGGCTGGTTATTCTAACGGAATTGACCAATCGCATCTATCAAGTCTGACTAACGAGAAATGTGATTGATCAATTCCATTGGAATAACCAACCGGTTAAGTTAACCAAAGTTGGTAGAAACGAGCATAAGTAGAACTTCAGTTTCCAGGTGTACTAACTTGAGCGCATTGTGGTGCAAATTTGCATCATCGATTTCTCCAGAAAGTGATTTTTTCGAGATACAATCAGATGTAAATAAGTTTTTCACTCCTTTGTTACTTTCCACATGTATTAGACACTAATCCTCCAGAATATATAGACGTTAAAAAATTAGGACGAAAGAGAAGTACAGCTAGAATTTCGACTCGCGGGTGCGTTCCTCGTGTCAGCGCGCTGAGATTTAGCGAAAGCCTCATTTCCGCGGCACGGCTGAGCTGTTACGGAGTCATGCGCGGATCTTTGACGTGCTACGATGACGAATAAACGCCGTATCGATTCCCGGTGTTACGCCATTCGCGACACCAGAGCCGCGATGTATCTTGACGCTGTTTTTTTCCGCGAGATGTAACGCAATCCGTCGTGCAATCCGATTACACGTCGGTGACGCATTTTCGGTGATGCGAGCGGGCGCGAGTGAGCGCGCCGAGGGTCCTTTCTATACAACGGAAGAACGCGGTCTCTCTCGTCCGCAACATATAATTTGCCTGGATTTAGTCGGATCGATTTTGAGTAGCTACTGTTTCGCTACAGGCGGATATCTTTTGTGGCGCGGTTTTGTGGGCGTACACTTCCCCCCGGGCTAAAACGCCAAATGGTAACGACGATACGCGGAATCGAACGTGGAATGGGAAACGGGGATTCGTTTTGTGCGCACGGTTTTCGGCCGGCGTGCCGGCGAAAAAAGAAACAATTTCCAACCCGGATCCGCCATTCTGGTAACCGGAAAACGTCCACTTCTCGTCTCTTTGTCGCGAAGCTAATTTTCGGGGTTTGCGAAAGGAAATAATGGCAAAAAAAAAAAAGAAAAAACCTTCCAAAACGCTCTGCGCGAAACTGTTTTCATCGCGGCGAATTCTCACCTTATCGCGCTGCTGCTTTTTCAATGACATTCAACAAATTCGCATGCCAACCTCAACGGGAAGCCTCGCAACTTATTGTTAACTAATCGACACGACGTCAGGTCTTGCGGAGTTGCGGGAGTGCCGTCGGCTGCGATTATTACGACGAATTTTGTATTTGTTTATCGGGCGCGCGTACGCGTGTGCGTGTCGCGGAATCAGACAATTTATTTCATTTGTGAGGTTCGCGCACGCGGCGCTGAGGCCGTGCATGTGTACGCACGATGTCACGTTACACATACACGTACACGATCATCAAATTGATATTACGTAAATATACCGACACTTCAGCTACAGTCAATGAAATCACTTTATCGCGTCGAATTTTCCAAATCACGCGGGAATAATATTTTCGTCGGTCAATCCACCGCGGCGGGCAACAGTCGCGGAATAAATATCTCGTCACTAAAAAGGGACATCTGGAACGCAATGAATCCGTCAGTCATTAAAAAAAAAGAATTTGGTTACATCTAGATGGGCTTCTCCATTAGCGCGGACACATGACGAAGTAATCGGTCGCCAAGTCATAAACGAGCGGTCACGAACTCGCACCTACGATATCGATGGCTGATCGGCATCGAGACTTGTCGATGTGGAGGAAAAGAAACGAATCGCCAGCGTAAACTTCCCCAGGAACACGAGCCTTCGGGGTAGGTAGGCGCGTCGCAGACAAAAGCGGCGCGTAAGGTCGCGCGAATCTGCGGGGCATCCAGAAGCGTAGGAGGCTTGGCGTAAGCGGTAAGCTTTACCTCATTTCTGGCAATTACAGGGGATGCCAGAATCCGCCGCAAGAATCAACCCACTCCGGCCGCGTGTGTGTACCATCCGCCTCTGTTTAGGTGAACCACCCCTTCGCGGTGCGCGTGTGCGCGCACGGCTCGCTCAGTCTGTGTTCGTGCCTCTCACACTCGCGTGCATGTAGCCACGCGACACACACCACTCGCACACACACACACACATACGCGCACACAGGCAGACAGGCGGGCAACACTACCCTCGTGAGGCTCGCACGTACATCTTGGTGGGGTCGAGACGCGCGTCATGGGAGCCCGTCCGCCCTCCTCAACCCCTGCGGCAACCCCATCCAGGAGAGAGGGTTGCCTGGAAGACCTCGGTTTGAGCACCACTGCCTCGCCATGTTCCAGGAACTCTGTCAGGATTGGTGGACGAAGCGACAAACGGCCTCGCCGATTCGCCCATTCAGGCCACGCCTCGCGCCCGGACCTCCTCTTTCACTTGCGAGCAGTCTCCGGGAGTAGTTGTGTGCAGCTGCAACAAAGGCCACCCCGGTAGACGACGGCCGGCTAGTCCTCGTTGACACGACGCACGCTCAAGAGCTTCGACCTTAACGGGAAGGTTTCTGGCCATCTGGCGCCTACGAAAGTGAATGAGCCGAGGACTAGATCGGGTGTCCCGTTAAGAGATTGGGGGTTACGTTTCCTCAGACGATTTCACTTTTCCTGCTCCACGTGAGTGATCGCAGCGGATCGTCTCAGAATCGCTGGAGGCTCTCGGATTTTGGGCGGTAAACGGCTGTTAGCGAAGACGGTAGCGGAAGACAGATTTTTGGAAATCAACTGAGCCCACTAGTGAACGGTTTGGGGTGATCCGATGAAAGCACACTCGTACACTATCGTTAGCCGATGTTAAAGATACCAAGCCAGTTCAGTGTCAGCAAGAAACGTTGCTGGACGAGTGCTGGACGAGATAAGGATGAAGTCCGGGTGACGTACCCGCGTCATGATTTGTGAAGAGGTGACAAGTGACCAGATATGGGGGTTCATCATGAGATATAATATCAAGTAAAGACTTGCGTCCGACATTTAATTGAACGGGGCCTGGTTTGAATCGGACACGTGTAAGAACTAGCTTGATCCCGTGGCATTTGTGTCGGTAACGTGATCTTGCTCCTCCTCTACAAAGACTTCAACGATCCCGCGATAAAGTCGCAAAATAGGGCTTGAGCAAACGTTGAAACTATGGTGGTCTGTCTCTGACCAGCTATCCGCGGGACAAATTCTTGAGCAGACGTTCTTTTAGATAGGCAAAGGGACGTTTTCAGTCGAGTGGCCGACGGTGTTGATGTAAGCGTTGCTGGAGCCAATCAACATCTCGAGCGGTGCGTGCTGTTGTCCGAGATGCACTTTACGGTGAAAGACACGTGTGCCACACGGTTTCGTCGCGCGATCATCCAGCTGTAGCAAGTTCTACACGGCGAATCACTCGCAAGGAGGACCACGAGTCATCGGCGGGGCGGTGTCACCAGCTGGAAGCGATCTCTTGCGAGTAATCCTTCGACCGGCTTCCCGACAATGGATTCTCAGCAGCTTGTCGATTCAGCCTCTCAGAACAGTCAGGACATCGTTTTACCGAAACCGGCCAGCAGTACCCCCAGACACAGCATCGACGCAATTCTCGGGTTGGCCAGCCATAAAAGGACTCATCAAGAGATGGAGGACACCAGTCGCGACACGCAAGAGAATACTGGTACCGATTTCACACCAATTTCGCCCCAAGCTACTATCACTGTTTCACGTTTCACATCATTTTCGCACACGTTTCCCCCGAAACACGCCTTGGTCACCTCGAAAATGGAAGCTCTCGCAAGGCAATTAGAAAGTCAGATTATCAGATGAGACGTCCGCACGTCTAAACGTTCAATGATCCACCCCAACTTCAGACCAAGTCGTTGAGCTGCTTCGACATTCTCCTTCCTCCGTCATTCTATCTTTGCAACATTAGCATTTTACCCTTCAAGAAAAACTATGCGAATTAACCGCAATGCAAATTCGCGAAGGATCACAGAATGCCGCGGCCGACGGGCGGATTCGCGCGAGGGGTGCACCTCCGCCGCGTTTCTCAAAGTCCCCCGTGCGAAGCACGTTGACTTTCACATCGCAGAGCGTCTCATGGCTGCCCCTCGAAACCCATTAACGAGGCAATCTCGATCATCCGATCCGTCCACTCGCTCCTTTGTGACCACCCTCCATCCGCGGTTTGTTAATCTCTATCGCATCATCAATCACTCAGCGCGCGTACTCTCTATTAGATATTTATCGCGCGTTTTATAACTCATTCATCAGTCATTGAATAAGTGTACGCGCAGATTCCTTGGACGCTGCCAAATCACGCGGCAGCTTTGGTCGGTCGCTCGATTTTCCGCGCGTTCAGCAAGCCACCGGCTTGCGAAGTGTAACTCCGGTCGGATGCCGCGTTAAATATAAATTTCGTGGTATCACTGCCCTGCAACGAGAAATCAATGGCCCGCTAATAGCCTTGATAGGTAACCCGAACGAATTCCTGCCGACGGTCGCCCGTGCAATTTTCCCCGCGCGGGGTTCGATCATTTTTTCGCATTTACGGATTAATTCAATCAACGGACCTGGCCATTTCGCGCTGTGACGTTGAATCTTGCATCCCGCTGGACAGACGCGATCGAGTCAGCCTGGCCATTCTCTGTCTGGCGGCTGCGTTACGGCCAGTAATGCGGCTTGATCGAGTTTCGATTAATTATTGTCGGGGTCGCGCTTGGTCGATGCGCGTCCATCTCGGTACACGGGAGCAAAATTTAAGAACGGCGAGCCAGGGCGGCGGCGTACAACACCGGCCGGAGATTCGCGGTAGGCACGACGAAAGACTTGGAGAGAACGATTAACTCAGACGATTCGCCGCGAAAAGTCAGAACACTACAAGATGCTCGCTACAAGGAACTCCAACGACGCCTTTCACTTCCGATTAAGGAAGCTCCCTATTTCGGGCGCATTGTGCTTATATATTTTTGTATCAGAAAAAAAGAGATAAGAGAGACCAACAAAAAAGTCAGCCACGTTCAATGCAGTCATGATTGACACGTTAAATAAATTACACTCACAAATAATGAACAATGATAAGAAAATCGGGCAAGCTAAAACCAAAAAATGCTGGACGCTTTTATTCATGTGATGGAGAAATATATCATTGTCAGCTGCAAGCTCTTGCTTACCTGATTTCTTTGTTATCACTTATTATTTGTGATTGTATGCCATTTTCTTCTTTTGACTTGTTTCATGCATGTACTGTTATTTTCGCATTTAACGCGACTGAATCGTCGATGCTTCCCAAAATCGATACGTTAGGTTCTCATGATAAGACTTCAATTTTTGTTTACTTTTCTAGATTATTACCTGCTTTTCCTTCGTATTATTCTTATAATCTGACATTACATTATATGTAATTAAATGTTCAAATTATTAATCAGCTTAATCCGATGATTAGTCATTTGTATTGAATAATCTTCCAAAATCCACTTTGCAATATGAAGAAACCAATTCAAAATCAATTCAAAAACCAACAATCCTGATACAAAAATATGTTGATAGGATGCGCCCAAGTTAAAATAGCTTAACCGGAAGTGAAAGGCGCTGTTGGAGTTCTCTTTGTGTACGCCAGCAACTGATGAAACATGTAAATGTTGTCTAATAATAACACGTTAATGGCGTAACACACGAATACTCGTTGCTCCACATAATGGTCGTGTTCGTTGCGTGATTTTCCACTTTACTGATGAGATCAATTTGCCGCATGCTACCTGTTCTACCTTCGTTTTTTCCTTTCTTCTTTTCAATTCCGCAAGACATTTACGCGCTCCACCGTTCAGCGCCGCGCGCAGGGTCGGCGCTAGTTTATTTTTATTACACTGGAATAATTCACGCTCATGCCCGGCTTGAGTGTGCCGGCCGCCGGTGATTAATGGACCGAGCGTTTTCGAAATTCGCTGACCGCAGAAGATACTAATCACCGTGATCAATGATTAATCGTTGAAACGCAATCCATGCAAGCGCATCCACGATATCCCGCGGATTCTCGTTAACGCCTCATTCGCAACTGTGATCATTTAAATCATTTAGATTCGCAGTCGCTCCATTCGGAACGCGATTACCATTGTCAATCGTCACTCGGATTATGGCGTTAATTTCGCCCGTCGATACGCGGCCACCACGTGAACGATACGTCGTCTGCACCCGAAACGCTCTCTAAGGATTCGCTCTGACGTGAATTTCCCGCGCGGAACCGATCGCACGGCCGTTGACGCACGTGTAAATTTAGCGTGCGCGTTGGCTGAGAGAAAGAGAGAGAGAAAGAGAAAGAGAGCGAGAGAGAGACAGAAAGAAAGGGAGGGAGGAAGAGAAAAACATTTATTATAGTAAGGCATGTCCTCTGAGAACTGTTATTTGTGATATAAACAAAGTTTGATTGTTTGATTTAATATTGCAGAGAGAATTGGAAGATTTATCAATACAGGAGACTGATTGTCGGGTTAGATAAATTAATGATAGATAAATTATTAGATAATTGAATATTCAATTATATATAGTACAATGTCAGATTATGAGAAAAATATTAATGGAAGAAATAATAATTCAGAAAAATAAATAAAAATTAAAATCTTATGGACCCAAGGCATCGCCAAATCACAAACGCTCGTCTATTTTACATATTTCAAATCATCTAGAGAGGGAAAGAGAAAGAGAGAGAGAGAAAATTTATTATAGTTTTAGGATTAGGAGATATCCCCATAGAACTGTTATTTGTCACATGCATAAAAAATTTGATTGAGGTAATATTATAGAGTAAATATAAATTATGATTTATCAATATAAGTTATCAATTATCAGATTAAGTAGATTAATGGTTTGGATATTTTAATTATATATTACACAATGTCAGATTATAACAAAAAAATATAAAGGAAGAAGAAATAATAATTCAGAAAAATAAACAAAAATGAAAGTTTTGTTATGGTGAGAATCCAAAGCATTGTCAAATCGTATCATAAACGTCTAATGCAATAGAGAGAGAGAGAGAGAGAGAGAGAGAAGGAAGAGACAGAAAGAAAAGCGTTTATTAGCGTTAATTCCAGGGCATATCTCCTAAGGACTGTTACTTGCGATATATATAAGCAAAAATTTTATAAAAATTTGATTATTTAGAGACTAAATTGGAAAATTTAACAATACACAAGCACTTAAACGTCGGATTAGATGGATTAATGATGAAAATATTTAACTATATGTAGCGCATACAGTATCAGATTATAAGGAAAATACAAAGGGGGAAACAAGTAACAATTTAGAAAAATAAGTAAAAATTAGTCTTATTGTGTTGAAGGAACCCAAGAAATCGCCAAACCACGAACGCTCGCCTATTTTACATATTCCCTAAATGTCTAGACGCAGAGAAAGAAAGATCAAAAGAGGGTAGGAGGCGGAGAGAAAATGAGAAAGAGAGAGAGAGAGAGGGGAGGGGAGGCGCGTTCGTGGGAAGCTCGTCGGTAACGTTAGCGTATAATTGGAAAATCGTTAGTATCGCAAGCATCTCTCGCGTTCTCCGGGCTACACGTGTGCACCACGCGCCGTTAATCCGTCGCCGAGACCGTATCGAGCGATCGAAATCGAGCCGCCGTCGCCGTATAACGGCCGCTGTCGGCGTTGGCGGCGCGGCGAGCCGATGCCGATGAAACGTATATCCGATAATTCCTGTTTCGAGACACTTTCGTCTCGGCTCGCCTACGCTGCCCGCGAACTGTCGTTCGTGTCATTCCGAAAGTGCGCACGCCGGGGCGAGAGAGCGCGCGAGGAGTTATCGACGCAACACTTTCGGCGGAAGGGTCGGAATCGACAAAACAATTTTGTGCCGGCGCTGCCACTATTAGCGAGCGAAAAAAAATGGCCAATCAGCTATCGGCCATCGGCGCCCGCGTGAGTAGCGTGAATGGCCGCGTCGCCCTTCGTGAAGTCGCGTGTCCGTCTCGGCGCCGGAGAAGACAGGATGGCTCGACGCCGTCGTCGTCGTCGAGCCGAGATATTGTCTTATTGTCCGTCACGATAATAACAATCCCGGCTTCCGTAAATGATCGACGCGACCGGCGACGGCACCGACGTCTTCGCACCACACGGCTTATGGCGTGTTCGGCGCGCGTCAATCGCTCGCACGAATTATTCGCGTGATTGGAGGCGCAGGGGCGGAAATGGTACACTTAGGGCCGGCTGTTCCAACTTCTTGGTAAATTAACTGATAGTTAAATCATATATATGTCTTTGTTTTTGCTTCAATTTAGACAAAGACAGACGTATGATTTAACTCTCAGTTTATTTATCAAGAAGTTGGAACAGCCGACCCGTAAAAGGGTATTATTTCGGAGTCTCTCTCTTTCTCTTTCTCTCTCTTTCTCTTTCTTTCTCTCGTCTCTTGGTCTGAAACGCGACCAGCTGATGATCGCGCGTTGTCTCGCGTCATTCGTTTAATAGTATAATTGCACGATTTGCGGATCTAATGCGACTAACAGGCTGCCGTTTAACGCCGGATTCTTCACTACAACCGTGCGATCGCGCTAAAAAGGTATTCAAATGTAGATCTTATAGCCTGTGATTCCTCCTACCCGCTTCTGCCTCCGTCTCTCGGCGGATTCAATTATTGTTAATTGCCAGTGTACGATTGAGGAGTTTTTT